AGTTGGGTAATTTATAAATGGAGAAATTGCAGAATTCTAGAACTGAAAACGAGAAATTCAAAAATCGCATAAATGTGAAATCGAAAAATTGAAAAATAAAAAAAAAATTGAGAACTCTAAAATCAGAAACTGAAAAATCCCAACATTGTAAAATTGTTACATTGGAAAAGGGAGAAATTGTAAACCAGACACTGAAAAATAAAAAATTTAGAATCGAATAGATTATAGCAAAATTGAAAAAAGCAAAATTGTGAAAATAAAAAATTTTAAATCTTGGAAAGTGAAAAATAAAAAATTATAAAACTAAAGAATTAAAAATCGAGAAATTGTAAGATTTCTAAATGGGGCAAACAACAATTCGGATAATTGTAAAATGAAGAAATTGCACAATTATAAAACTGAAAAATCGAAAAATGGTGAACGGTATAGCTGAAACTAAAAAAACATCTAAAATCGAAAATTTGTAAATGTGAACAACCCAAAAATTAATAAGAGATATTGTAAAAACAAAAAAACGAAAAATCGAGTACATAAATGTAACACGGAAAAATTGTAAAATTAAAAAACAAAAAATTGCAAAATATAAAACTGAAAATTAAAAATCGAGAAAAATTATATATTTAGATAAAACTCCAAAAATTAAACATTAAGACATTGAAAATTTGAAAAAAAATCGGATAATTTGAAACCGGAGAATTACAATGTTGTGAAAATGAAAAATCGAAAAATTCGAATTCAAAACACGAAAATCCGAAAAATTTTAAATTCTATAAGGGAAAAATCGAAAAATTAACAAAGTAAAAAATTTTTAAATCGGAAAACCAAATAATTGAAAAATTGAAAAATTTAATAACCTAAAAATACAAAATTTACTAAATTACACAAATGAAAAATCAAAAAATTCAGTAATTAAGATAAAAGAAAAATCAAAAATTAACTGAAAATAGAGAAATTAAAGAAATAAAAAATTGATAAACTGAAGAGTTGTAAAAACCAAATTCAAATTGAGAAATTGTATAATCAAAAATTTAGACATGGAAACATTGAAAATCAAATCATTTACAAATTGAAAATTCGCAGCATTGTGTAATTGAAAAATCAAAAACTTGAAAAACTGGACAGCTGAGAACTAACAATATTGAAAAATTAAAAATGGAAAAACTGAAAAATTGAAAAACGAGAATTTGTTAATTAGAATAATCGAAAAATTATACAATTATATTAAAATTTTAAAAATTAAAAATCGAAGCATTGAAAAATTTCTAAAAATTGAAAGTTGTGTAATTTTAAAGTCGAGAAATTACGAAAGTGTTAAAATTGAAAAATCGTAAAATTGGAAATATAAAATTAAAAAAAAAGAAATCGAAAACTGTAAAACTGAAATATGGAAAAATTGACAAATCGATAAATGTAAAAATTAAAGAAACGAAAAATCGAATTATTGAAAAATGGAAAACTTAAAACTCAAAAAATCCAAAAATCGCCACATTTAAAATTGAAAATTTAAAAAACTAAAATTGACAACTCTAAAATCGCAAACTGAAAAATCGCAACATCGTAAAATTGTTACACTGGAAAATGGGGAAATTATAAACCAGACACTGAAAAATAAAATTTTTTAAATCGAATTGGTTATAGCAAAATTGAAAATTGTAAAACATAAAAATTGAAAAAAGCAAAATTGTGAAAATAAAAAAATTTTATAAATCTTGGAAAATTATAAGTGAAAAATAAAAAACTGATAAACTGAAAAATTAAAAATCCAGAAATTATAAGATTTAAAAATGGGGAAAACAAAAATTCGGATAATTGTAAAATGAAGAAATTGCAAAATTATAAAACTGAAAAATCGAAAAATGGTAAACGGAATAGCTGAAAATAAAAAACCCTCTAAAATCGAAAATTTGTAAAACTGTAACAGTGAACAACCCAAAAATTAAAAAGAGTTATTCCAAAAACAAAAAAACCAAAAATCGCGTACATAAATGTAAAACGGAAAATTGTAAAATTAAAAAAGCAAAAAATTACAAAATATAAAACTGAAAGATTAGAAATCTAGAAAAATGACATGTTTACATAAAACTCCAAAAATTAAACATTAAGACATTGAAAATTTGAAAAAAATCGGATAATTTGAAACCGGAGAAATACAACGTTGTGAAAATGAAAAATCGAAAAATTCGAATTCGTATCCAGAAATTCTGAAAAATTTTAAATTCTATCAGTGAAAAATCGAAAAATTAACCAAGAAAAAGATTTGAAAATCGGAAAACCAAATAATTGAAAATTGAAAAATTTAATAACCTAAAAATACAAAAATTGCTAAATTACACAATTGAAAAATCAAAAAATTCAGTAATTAAGGTAAAAGGAATATCAAAAATTAACAAAAATACAGATATTTAAGACATAAAAATTGATAAACTGAAAAGTTGTAAAAATGAAAAATTCAAATTGAAAAATTGCCTAATTAAAAATTAAGACACGGAAATATTGAAAATCCGATCATTTACAAATTGAAAATTTGCACCATTGTGTAATTGAAAAATCAAAAACTTGAAAAACTGGACAGCTGAAAACTAACAATACTGAAAAATTAAAAATGGCAAAACTGAAATATTGAAAAATGAGAATTTGTTAATTATCGAAATAATCGAAAAATTATACAATTATATTAGAATTTTAAAAATTAAAAATCGAAACATTGAAAAATCTCTAAAAATTAAAAACTGTGTAATTTTAAAGTCCAGAAATTACAAAAGCGTTAAAATCGAAAAATCGTAAAATTGGAAATCTAAAATTCAGAAAAAAAGAAATCATGGAAAATTGTAAAACTGAAAAATGTAAAATTTGGCAAATCGATAAATGTTAAAATTATAGAAACGAAAAATCGAATTATTGAAAAACCAAAAACGGAAAACTCAAAATATCCAAAAATCGCTAAATTTAAAATTGAATATTTAAAAAAGAAAAATTGAAAATCGAGTATAAATGGAAAAATTTAAAATTTGAACAACGAGAAACGAAAAGGATTAATGGAAAAAGAATATTTGAAAAATTGGGTAAGTGGAAAATCAAAAATTGAACCATCAAAATATTGTAGAATTAGGTATCAGAAATTGAGAAATTGAAAAATTAAAAGTTGGGTAATTTATAAATGGAGAAATTGCAGAATTCTAGAACAGAAAACGAGAAATTCAAAAATCGCATAAATGTGAAATCAAAAAGTTGGAAAATTAAAAAAAAATTGAGAACTCTAAAATCAGAAACTGAAAAATCTCAACATTGTAAAATTGTTACATTGGAAAATGGAGAAATTATAAACCAGACACTGAAAAAAACAATTTTAAATCGAATAGATTATAGCAAAATTGAAAAAAGCAAAATTGTGAAAATAAAAAATTTTAAATCTTGGAAAGTGAAAAATAAAAAACTATAAAACTGAAGAATTAAAAATCAAGAAATTGTAAGATATAAAAATGGGGAAAACAAAAATTCGGATAATTGTAAAATGAAGAAATTGCACAATTATAAAACTGAAAAATCGAAAAATGGTGAACGGTATAGCTGAAACTAAAAAAACATCTAAAATCGAAAATTTGTAAATTTGTAACAGTGAATAACCCAAAAATTTAAAAGAGATATTGCAAAAACAAAAAAACGAAAAATCGACTACATAAATGTAACACGGAAAAATTATAAAATTAAAAAACATTAAGACATTGAAAATTTGAAAAAAAATCGGATAATTTGAAACCGGAGAAATACAATGTTGTGAAAATGAAAAATCGAAAAATTCGAATTCGAAACACGAAAATCCGAAAAATTTTAAATTCCATAAGTTAAAAATTAAAAAAATTAACAAAGTGAAAAATTTGAAAATCGGAAAAGCAAATAATTGAAAAATTGAAAAATTTAATAACCTAAAAATACAAAAATTGCTAAATTACACAATTGAAAAATTAAAAAATTCAGTAATTAAGGTAAAAGAAATATCAAAAATTAACAACAAATACAGAAATTTAAGACATAAAAATTGATAAACTGGAAAGTTTTAAAAATGAAAATTACAAATTGAAAAATTGCTTAATCAAAAATTAAGACACGGAAATATTGATAATCGGATCATTTAGAAATTGAAAATTTGCACCATTGTATAATTGAAAAATCAAAAAATGGAAAAACTGAAAAAACCAAATATGAGAATTTGTTAATTATAATAATCGAAAAATTATACAATTATATTAAAATTTTAAAAATTAAAAATCGAAACATTGAAAAACTCTAAAAATTAAAAACTGTGTAATTTTAAAGTTGAGAAATTACGAAAGTGTTAAAATTGAAAAATCGTAAAATTGGAAATCTAAAATTAAAAAATAAGAAATCGAAAACTGTAAAACTGAAATATGGAAAAATTGACAAATCGATAAATGTAAAAATTAAAGAAACGAAAAATCGAATTATTGAAAAATGAAAAACTTAAAACTCAAAAAATCCAAAAATCGCTACATTTAAAATTGAATATTTAAAAAACAAAAATTGAAAATCGAGTTAAAATGGAAAAATTTAAAATTTGAACAACGAGAAACGAAAAGGATTAATGGAAAAAGAATATTTGAAAAATTGGGTTAGTGGAAAATCAAAAATTGAACCATCAAAATATTATAGAATTCGGTATCAGAAATTGAGAAATTGAAAAACTAAAAGTTGGGTAATTTATAAATCGAAAAATTGCAAAATTTTAGAACTGAAAACGAGAAATTCAAAAATCGGATAAATGTGAAATAGAAAAATTGCAAAAATAAAAAAAAAATTGAAACAGCAAAACACCATAATTGGAATTTTTTTCTTTAAAATAAACTGTGGAAGCTCCAGTTTCATGATAATATTTGTTTCATTATTTTCAAAGCGAACACAACCACTACTATTCCCTCTCTTATCGTGACAGTGACCCTAAATTGCACCAATTATTTAATCTGGGCTTAATATAAAACATAAGTCAGTGGTTTATTGCCTGAACATGAAGACGGTCCGAAAATCATTTTTTATTGTTTGCTTATTTTTAAATTTGTTTTTATTTTCTTGTGAAGACGATCAAGAAAAGGTGAGTAAAACCCAATTTAACAAAATAACAAGCATCTCTCTCCAACAGTTTGACGTCGGTTCCACGACTCAGCTGCCACCCGATTTTCTCAGAATCGAAGAAGCTTTAACTAAACAGATTAACAGATTTCAAAAAAATGTTAAAACTAGACTAGAAGTTCTAGAAACAGCTACTATGAAGCAGTTAGAAGAGCTAAAGCACCGTCTAGAAACACTAGATTCGGCGAAAGACATAAGTCTTGAGCAAGTCATTTACAGTCTAAAAAATCTCGAGCCCACAATAGATTTAAAGTTAGAACAGTTAACACATAGTATACCAACTTTCGAATCTAAAAATGCCGCACAAATAGAACAGTTAACACACCGCATAGACGCTGCCGAATCCACGAATACCTCAAACATGGAATTAATGTTGACAGATCATCTACAAGTCTTCGAATCCGCAAACGATTTAAAGTTCAAACAGTTAACAGATTGTATGAACTACCTTGAATCAAAAATTGACATATCCATTGATCGTACGAAACAAATAGCGACGAATCTTTCACGCAACTGTGGAGAAGTCAAAGAAAAGGGTTACGATCTTTCTACCGTCTACCTGATTAAACCAGACTTTGCTCCTAAACCCATAACGGTTCTGTGTGACTTGGAAAAAAAAGGGGGTGGATGGGCATACATTTTAAGTAGGTTTGATGGATCACAAAGTTTTGACTTTGATATGGAAGAATATAAAAATGGATTCGGTAAAATTTGGAGTGAGTTTTGGCTGGGTTTGGATAACATTCATTATTTAACTGGTAAGTTGTTAAACCAGTAATCGGAATAAAATGAAAAGTTGTTTGTAATAATGTAGGTTATGAAGATAACGAGTTGTTGATTGAACTAGTAGATTGGGACGACAATTACAAGTTCGCGCATTATGATAGTTTCAGGGTGGGGAGTGAAGACGAAGGTTATATAGTGAGTATATCAGGATATACCGGGACCGCTGGAGATTCTTTCTCTTACGTTACAAACAATACGAAATTTAGTACAAAAAAGATTGATTTGGATCAATGGTCTTTAGGAAGCTGTGCTCAACATTTCGGTAGGTATATAATTTTAATTGCTATCCGTTTTATTGAGAATATGAAAAAATATTGTAGGTGCAAGCTGGTGGTATAACATGTGTATGACCTCTCTTCTCACGGGAAAATACTTGGAAAGCTATGTCCACACAACTGAGTTAGGGAAAATTATGCACTGGTCCACATTCCGAGGAAACCAATACAGTCTCAAAGAAGCTAGAATGATGGTTAGACCTAGAATCGAACCAAATGACTAGATGTGCTGGAAGCAACACATTTTTGTGAGAACTGTGGGTGTGACCTGAAATAAAAATTTTTGCTTGTGTTGTGTAGAGTGATAAAAGTCCTCAATAAAACCAACCTTAATCCCACTTAAACTTAATTGTACATTTGTCAAAACAAGGATTAGTCGAAATTTTGCATCCAAAAAACCACTAAGCCAACTGTTTGTTTTTTGCCTCAACATGAAGTCATTTTTCATTCTGTGTTTATGATTAAATTTATTCTTGTTTTCATGAAAGAATGGTCGAAAAAGTTAAGCAAAATTTTACGGGAGACTTATTTCTTCGTCCTCTAGGGGTCATGGAAGGTCGAGAAAACGTAAAAGTGGAGAGTCGGCCGACGGAATCGATTACAATACTTCCTTTGCTTACGCCCGCGAAGTACAAATGAATGTAATGAAAAGCAAGAAGAACTTAAAAGAGTCGTCAATTTACCTAAATGATGATCTGACGGAAACGCAAAGAAAAATTCAAAACAAAATAAAAAGGAAGCAACAAAAGAGAGAAATAAAGGAAAAGTGGTTAGAATGGGATATAAAAGTTAACTGTAGAGGAAGAAAACGAGGAAAAATTGAAGGAAACAAGGCAAAGGGGAAGAAATAAAGGATTCAGATAAGAAAATCGGGAAAAGGGTAACTGGTACTAAATTAGGAGAAAAAGGAAAATGACTTTTGGGACTACGTGGGAAAATTTGATGTGTTGGGGCTAGTAGAGACATGGGTACAAAGAGAAAACTGGGAGAAATTTGAAGAAACACTACCACAATAACATGTGTTGGAGTGTCAAGGGGCGACGAAGGAAAAGAAAAAGGGGAGAACAAGCAGGGAAATAGTAACGGGAATTCGAAAACAAATGCAAGAATTGGAAAAGGGAAGTAATAATAAAAACAGCCTAATGAAGAAAGTAATACAGCTGGATAACAGTCGATGGGAAATAATAACCGTTTATTGCAAGAAAATGAAAAAAGCCAAGATAAACATAGAAAAGGAGATGAAAAAATACTTATAGGAGAGGATTTTAACGCAAGACTGGGCGATAAGGGGACAAGCGTAATAGAGAAAGAAAAGGGAGAGAAAATAGGATCAAAAGACAAAACAAATATCAAAGAAGGGAAAAGATTTTGGAAGATAATAGAGGAAATGGGACTGGATATTTTGAATGGAAACAAAGAAGGAGATGAAGAAGGAGAATGGACTATGGGATTGTCAACGAAGAGGCGTGCGAAGAAATAGAGAGTTTCGAAGTGGGGGAAAGGGTAGAATCAGACCACATGCCACTAGAAATAAAAATCAAAGGAAAAGAGCAAGAGTACGAAAAACAAGACAGAAGAAACGAAAGAAAAGAAACAGAAAAAAGAAAATGGGATGAAGAGGGAATTCAAAGATAGAGAAGTAGACTAGAAAAAAAGAAATTCAAAGTAAAAGAAACGGAAAATTGAATATTTTAAAAATTCCGAAAATTGAAGAATTGAAATATAGAAGAACCGAAAACTCGAGAAATCAAAAATCTAGAATACTAAAAACTGAAAAATTAAAATATTTAAAAGTTGAAAAAAACAGCCGAAAATTGAAAAATCTAAAGTTTAAAAAACGAAAACTGAAAATCGGGAAATCCAGAAGTCGAAAAATCGTAAGCTTATAAAATCGAAAAATTGAAAAATCAAAATCCTGAGAAATTGAAAAATTGAAACATCAAAAACCTGAAAAATTGAAAAATTGAAGGATCGAAGAAGTGAAAAATCGAAACTTTGGGAACAAATGGGAAAATAAAAAAAGATTACTTCAGAAATAGTAAAACTGAAAATTTAGAAACGTCAAAATTTGAAAAATTCAAAAATTGAAAAATCTTAATAGTATTTAGAAATCGTAAAACTGAAGAGAATAAAAGTTGAGAAATTGTATCAATGAAATATCGGTGAAATATTGCCAGTTGGATTTTTAAATTTTTAAAAACCTGAAAAATCCAAAAATCTGTAAATTGAGAACTGAATCGATCGAAAAATCGAAAAGTGAAGAAATCGAAAGGAAAAACAAAAAAAAACTAAATCTAAAAAATCGAGACATTCAAAAATTAGAAAAGTTGAAAATTCCAAAATTTAATGAAATAAAATTTCGAAATGGCGAGAATTTGAAAAATCGAAGTCGAGAAATTTAAAAATCAAACAGTTCAAAAAATCAAGAAATGGAAGAATCAAAAAGTTCAAAAGAAAAAAATTCTAAAAATGCAAATATCGAAAAATCGGAAAACTCAAAATTTAGAACTCTAAAAATCGTCAAATTGAACAATCGAAAAATAAAAAAAAAACAAAAATCGAGAAAGCGAAAATTCGAAGACTCGAAAAAATGAAAAACCTAAAATCCAAACAGTGAAAAACTGAGTAATAGAAAAGTCGAAAAGTAAAAAAAGACCAAAATCGAAAAATCTAAAAGTCAAAAATCAAAAATTTGAAGAATCCATGGAAAAATCGAAAGGTCGAAAATCGGGAAAACCCAAAAACCGAAAAATCGAGACATTGAAAGATCCAAAAATCCAGACATCGAAAACTCGGAAAAGTTGGAAAATCCAAAAATCGAAAATTGAACCAATCGAAAAGTCGAATAGTGGAAAAATAGAGCAATCGAAAGAACCACAAACCAAAAAAGTCGAAAAATTAATAAATCGAGAAATCTTGAAATCGAAAAATTCGAAAATCTGAAAATTGGAAAATAAAGACACTAAAAAATCTAAAAGTCGAAAATTGAAACTTTTAAGAATCGACCGAAAAATCGGAAAAACCCAAAAACCAAGAAATCAAGGAATTGAAAAATCCAAAAATCCAGATATCTAGACAGAAAAATCCTAAATGAAAAATCGAAATATCGGAAAATCAAAAAGTCGAACAATCCAAAAATCGAAAAATGGAATCAATCCAAACAACGAAAAATTGAAAAATCTTGAAGTCGAAAAAGAATGGAAGAAGTGAAAAATCGAAACTTTGGGGAGAAATGGAAAAATAAAAAAAAATTACTTCAGAAATCGGAAAACTGAAAATTTAGAAACGTCAAAATTTGAAAAATTCAAAAATAGAAAAATCTAAATATTTAGAAATCGTAAAATTGAAGAGGATAAAAATTGAGAAATTGTGTCATTGAAAAATAAAAAAATGGAGAAACCGAAAATTTGAAGAATGGAAAAATTGAAAATGCCCAAAATTGAAGTTCTGAAAAATTGAACCGTCTAAAGTAGAAAAATCGAGAAATCTTAAAGCCGAATAATCTCAATAATGTATTTATAAACCACAAGTTCAAGATTATACTATAGACAAAACTGTTGAACTTCCTTGTCCACTTTGTTGACAAAAATAATTTGCACATTTCGTCCTTTATCGTCCTTATTATCCTTTTTCGTCCTTTCCGTCCTTTTTCATTCTTTGTCGTCCTTATTCGTCCTCTTGCGTCTTTTTTCGTCCTTTTCGTCCTTTTTAGTTCTTTTTCTTCCTTTTCCTCCTTCCGGCCCCGGACCACTGAAATGATTTATTAAGGCGGAGGAGCTTGTATGGGAGAGAGGAGCATCGGTAATATTGTTTCTTTGGTATGATTTTGACGTCTAGTATGCTTATTTAAGACCAGCTCAAGATTTTCTAGACATCTTATTGAACAATTTACCCTTTTTCTTGCCAACGATTTAACAGATTTATTAAAGATTTTAATAAGTTAATAATGTTGTCATTAATTAACAATATTAAGAGTTGTCATTGGAATGAAGAACGGATGGGTGGGCGGGGAACTACTTGTTCATAAGACTGTAGAAAAATGCCAAACTTCACTCAGTTAAATATTTTATTCACTGATAAATGAGCAATTAATTCAATTTTGACAAGCGGTAGAACCTCATGTTCAAAACAAAGTAAAAAGTTAGTCCGATTTTTAAAGATATACATTTGGCAAAGGAGGAATAATGGATGGAACGGAAAATGTAGTGGGTTGAAGAGAAAATCAAGGGAAAAATGAAGAAAATGGAAGAATAACAGGGGAAGGAAAGAAGAGTACTTAAAAGCAAGAGACAATTATAGGAGAAAATGTGAAGAAAAAAAAAGAGAAAATAGATAAGAAGACAATAAAGTCGTTGAAGATAGAAGAAGAAGTATGGAGATATATAAACAAGGAACGGAGAAGGAAGACTGAAGTCAGTAGGAAAATCAAAATACATTAATGGAAAAGATACTTTATGGAATTATTGGGAGGGTGTGAGGAAAAATGCTGCAAAAAAATTAAGGAATCACAACGACGGAAGAAATGTGGAGAGGTTCGGAAATAACAGAAGATGAAATAGGAAGACAGATTGAAAGACTGAAAAGAGGAAAGGTTAGAAGGGATGGAATCCAGAACGAAGCGTGGATGTTCGGGACAGAAGGAGTGAAAGACAGGATATGGGCAGTGGTAGATGGAGTTTGGAAAGGAAAAGGGTTTCCTGGGCAGTGGAGAGAAGGTATAATAATCCCATTATTTAAAAAGGGGCAAAAAGTGGTGTGAAGAACTCGCGAGGGATAACCTTGCTCAATACGGCGTACAAAATAGATGCAATGATACTAGATGAGAGGTTACGAAAGGAGATGGAAGCAAGGGGTATGTTACCAGACGGTCAGCCATAGGTTAGGAAAGGAAGAGGTACTTTGGACAATGTGTACATCCTGCGGCATTTAGTGGGAAGCTAAACAAGGAAAGAGGGTGGACAAATGTACGCATTGTTTACAGATTTGCGTTTGATAGCGTGAATAGAGAGAAAATGTGGGAGTATTTGAGGAGAATGGCAATAGATGCGTACCCGGTAACGAAAATGGAAAAAATGTATGAAGAGACAGTAAGTAAAGTGAGAGTCAATGGAATAGAGCGCGAGAGTTTTTATACAAATAGAGGAGTAATACAGGGATGCCCACTCAGCCCCGCATTGTTTGCAGCGTCTCTAGGATATATAGACGAAATGTTCAGAAAAGCACAGACAGGAGGGATGGTAGTGGACAGAGAAAGTGTGATCGTTGGCGTACGCAAATGATTTAGTGATTGTGGCAATGAAAAGAGAAGAAATGAAAACAATGATTAAAAGTTTCGAGAAGTACGTACAAAAAAGGAATTGGAAGTGAATGTGGAAAAAACAAAAATGTTGGTGTTTGGGAAGAAAGTAAGAAAGGACAAGGAAGAGTGGACATGGAGTAGGAAGAAGATTGAACAGGTGAAAGAATTCCAATACTTGGGATATATATTAAGGAGCAATAACTCAGATAGAGCGCATGGTCCGAAAAGCGAACAAAGTGATAGGAATAGAGAAAATCTGGACATGATTATAACAGACAAATGATGATAGTTGATAGTTTGATCAAAAGTGTATTTATGTACGGAACTGAGATTTGGGGATGGAGCCAATATGAAGAAATAAAGAGAGTGCAAGAAAAATACTTAAAATGGACATTGGGATTGGGAAAGTATACGCCGGGATATATAGTGAGAAAAGAAACAAAAAGGGAGAAAATGAGAGTGGAAGCGGGCAAACGGGCGATTGGATTTGAAGAGAAGTTTAGTGAGAGAGATGATTGAAAATATTGCAAAAATGTTGGAAAGAAATAAAATAGGAAGGGGGAAAACATGTTTGGAACGAAAGAGACAAGTATTATGAAGGAAATGGGAAAGAGTCTGAAAGAAGAACTGAGTGTAAGAGATAAGGATATAGATGAAACTGACATGATATATATAAATTCTTCAAATTATGCATTTATCTGAATGATAAGACTGAGATTTGGTTGATATTCGTGGTACTTTGTTATTAGTTAAAGTAAAATCTATAAATATCACTTTGGGCTTCTGATGTTTAATGAAAGAGTTCGAAAAGGTTTCTCTCCTGATAATTTTGAAAAAGTTTGAAACAATCTTGGGTTGCCCTAGTGGTTTATTAATGCCAAAAAATCTTGTATCTTAGCAAGTAGTAGCCCCGCCCACCCGCCCTCTATTTTCTTAAAGGGTATATTATTGCCAAAATCAGTCTTATCTTAGCAAGTACTAGCCCCACCCACCCACCCTGTCTTTTCTTAGAAGGTATATTATCTGCGAAAATCAGTTTTATCTTATCAGATATTCGCCCCACCCACCCACCCTCTCTTTTCTTAGAAGGTGTGTCATCTGCCAAAATCAGTTCTATCTTAGAAGGTGCTAGCCCCACCCACCCACCCTCTCTTTTCTTAGAAGGTGTGTCATCTGCCAAAATCAGTTCTATCTTAGAAGGTGCTAGCCCCACCCACCCACCCTCTTTTTTCTTAGAAGGTATGTCATCTGCCAAAATCAGTTTTATCCTATCAGATATTAGCCCCACCCACCCACCCTTTCTTTTTTTGTGTTTAAATTTAACACCGATTTTGCAAATGACATATCCTCAAAAAAAAGAGAGGGTGGGTGGGCCTAGTATTTGATAAGATAAAACTGATTTTGGCAGATGACATACCTTCTAAGAAAAGAGAGGGTGGGTGGGCGGGGCTAGGACCTGCTAAGATAAAACTGATTTTGGCAGATGATATACCTTCTAAGAAAAGAGAGGGTGGGTGGGTGGGGCTAGTACTTGTTAAGATAAAGCTGATTTTGGCAAATGATATACCTTCTAAGAAAAGAGAGGGTGGGTAGTGGGGCTAGCACCTTCTAAGATAGAACTGATTTTTGCAAATGACAAACCGCTCTTTATTTTCTTAGAGGATATGTTATTTGCCAAAATCAGTCGTACTTTAGAAAGTACTAGCCCCACCCACCCACCCTCTCTTTTCTTAGAAGGTATGTGATTTGCCAAAATCAGTTTTATCGTAGCAGGTACTAGAAGATGTTGGAGAGAGGGAAAAACAATAGAGCAAATGTTTTAAGGATGTGAAGGATTGAGAGAATCGGAAGAAATTAGGGAAGAAGTGCTAAACGAGGATGGAAGAGGATTGGACTGGATGAAAGACGTACGAAAGGTAAGGAAATTAAGGCAAGGAGTGGGCAAGCAGACAGAATAGAGCAATTATCTATACTTCTATACTTATATTATAAAGCTGAAATGTTTGTTTAATTGAACGCGCTAATCTCAGAAACTACTGGTTCGAATTTAAAAAATCTTTTTGTGTTGGATAGTCAACTGTTACCTACTGAAGTATTAGCATCATCTAGAAAACTAGAAATAGTTTGATTCGATATTCGAGTAGATACTTCGTATTTCGAGTATGAGCATCTACTGAGTTTTATTTATATCAACCATTGTCAAAAAATTGATCGGACGTTGTTTCGACAGAACTTCCTTCGCATCAAAAGTATAATGAAACATATTCAGCATTTTCGAGTTGAGTCTTTTCTTCACACAATTTTGTGATGACCGAATCAACATTTACCATCAACACCTATACCACCTTGGATTGGTGCAGTGTAATGCTAAAAATAACTGTATTGTATTTCCAAAATTATCTGCGAAAATCGAATGAGCCGTTCCATCAATTTTTTGGGGGAATAAATAAATATTCTTAACAATTTACCATTCTTACAACTTTATAACGTCTGCAAGATCTCAAAGTATTCATTTCTGCAACTCCTGAGTTATTCTCTAAAATAAATTGACCGATCTATACATTTTACATACATTTGGCAAAATTTTGAGCTGACGTCATCAATTTTTTGGAGGGGAAAAGTAAATATATTTTGAATACAAATTTATTATGCAAGATTTCAAAGCATTCGGTTTTGCAGCTTCAAAATTAAATTGTAGGTAGGTGAAAGTTCAGGGGGTCAGCTAGTTATTAGATAAAACTCGAATATTTATTTTATTTATTTACTTATTTGTATTATGTAGATTAAGTGAATTTGTACCCCTATTGGGAATCTTATTGAGCCAGTAAGGCAAATACTAAATTAATACTGCATTATTTTAAAGTGTTCATTGTAACTACATACACGTAAATACAACCATTACTATTGTCTCTTATCTTGGCGACCCTAAATTGCACCAATTACTTAATCTCTGCCTAATATAAAACGCCAGTCAGTGGTTTATTGCCTGGACACGAAGATGATCCGAAAATCATTTTTTATTGTTTGCTTATTTTTAAATTTATTTTTATTTTCATGTGAGGAGGATCAAGAAGAGGTGAGTACAAACCTATTTTCCAAATGTTTTTGTCAGAAATCGGTTTAATCGAAAATTTCGAATAACAAGTCCCAGAAACAAAATCATTAACACAAACTTATTCAATTTTTAGTTTGACGTGAGTTCCACGACTCAGCTACCACCTGACTCTCTCAGAATCCAAGAAGCTCTAACGAAACAGATTAACAGATTTCAAGAATATGTTAACACTAGCCTAGAAGCTCTAGAAGCAGCGAATATGAAGCAATTAGAAGAGCTAAAGCACCGTCTAGAAACACTAGATTCGGTCAAAACTTTAAATCTAAAGAAAATATTTCATAGTCTAGGAACTCTTGTGTCCACAATATATTTAAAGTTAGACCGTCGTCGACAAACTTTCGAATCCCTAAAAACCGCACAATTAAAACAGTTAACACTTCGCACTGAAGCTTTCGAACGCACAAAAGACTTAAAGCTATTGCAATTTAAACAGCGTCTAGAAGAATTCGAACCCGTATTGAGTTTAAAGTTCCAAAAGTTAATACATCGTCTGAAATTTCTTAAAGCAAAAAATGAAATATTGCTTTATCTGAAGCAACAAAGAGGGAATTTTCCACTCGACTGTGAAGAAGTCAAAAGAGAGGGATACAATCTTTCCACCACCTACCGTATTAAAGCAAACTCTGCTCCTAAAGCTATAGAAGTTCTGTGTGACTTAAAAAAGAAGGGGGGTGGATGGACGTACATTCTACGTTGGTTTCATGTATCACAATTTGGCCATGGTTTTGACGAATATAAAAAAGGATTTGGTGAACTTTCGGGTGAGTTTTGGCTAGGCCTGGATAACATTCATCATTTAACTGGTAAGTTGTTAAACCAATTATTAAAATAAAATGAAAAGTTGTATGTAAAAATGTAGGTTATGAAGATAACGAATTGCTGGTAGAACTCGTAGTCCGGGACGGCACATCAGTGTTCACCCATTATGATCGATTCAGAGTGGGCAATGAAGACGACGATTATACAATTACTGTGTCAGGGTATAGCGGTACCGTTGGAGATTCTTCCTCTTCTGAAAGCAACACGAAATTTAGTAGACAAAAGAACGACTTGGATAACTGGTGGTCAGGAAGATGTGTCGTAGAATTAGGTAAGTACACCACTTTAATTGCTACCACTTGTATTAAGAATGTGAAACAACACTGCAGCTGGACGTTGGTGGTATAACGACTGTATGAGTTGTCTTCTCTCGAGAATACACTTGAAACACTGTTTGTACACCTCGAAAGAAAGTAAAATTATGTACTGGTTTGAATCCCGGAGTTCCCAACATAGTTTCAAGGAAGCTAGAATGATGGTTAGACCTAGAATTCATCCAAATGACTAGAAATGATGGAAGCAGCACATTTTTTTGTAAACTGTGGGTGTGACATAATAATAAAACCAACTTTATTTAATACTTAAACTTAATTTTGCATTTGTCATTGCATCTATGTCAGATGCAAAAAATAATTTCTTTCTCCCATCGTGATAAATCACCTCTAAATTCCTTGATGTAATTAGTTCAGTGCACGAATAATAAGACGCCAATTGTTTATTTGTTGCCTCAACATGCCGTCATTTTTCGTAATGTTTTTATTTTTAAATTTATTTTTATTTTCATTGGAGATTAGTCGAAAAAATGTAAGCAAAATTTTACTTTTCAAAAATACATTATATTCTCTTTAAATGTGAAAACAAGGATTAGTCGAAATTTTGTATTCAAAAAAACACTAACAACGTTGACAAGTTTCTAAGTCAGTCGTTCTTAAGTGTGTTAATGTACAATACAAAAGTCCAGGTGACTAGTAGGTACAACAATAACGACACAAGAACACTCTCCTTAAAACAAATCTTTTAGTCTCCGTTCGTTTATTTCTGCTACAGTCGGACGAGTCAGCTCAACTCCGTTAATCCCAAATAATCACTTAATCGAACGGTTTGAAAAATTTCAAAAAAATTGTCAATGCTCGGCTAAAATCTTCAAATAGCCGAATGCCGAATCAACAAATAATTTGAAATTCAATACACTATAACTTTGCCTAGATAATGCTGACGTGGAAATAAACGCTACATTATAAAAATAATTGTTATTTTGCAAAAGAAGAAAAAGAATAAAAAGAAAGTGAAAGGAATTAATGAACTATGGAAGGCCAGTTTCAAAATATTGTTTTTTTCATAATATACATAGTATTCTTTAGTTATTCAAAAACATGTTTGTTATTTCTTGCAGAGAAATAAGGATTTTGCAGTTGAGCTCCGCCTCTTTGGCTCACGACGTATAAAAAAATCATCCCAATTGAGATAGGGCAGGTGGGCGGGGCTTATATTTTGCCTTTTCTTTTTAATATACATAGCCATCTTTTCACAACAAGAAACTTAAAACATGTTTGTTGAAAAGTGTAAATTAGTTTAGGAAAATATCGAACATATTTCACATGCTAATTTCTCGTAGAAAAATAAGAATTTTGAAATTAAGCTCCACCCCTTGGCTTACGACGAATAAAAAAACCATCAGAATTGAGATAGGGCGGGTGATGGGTGGGGCTTATTTTTGTCTTTTTCTTTTTAACATACATAGCCGTCTTCTCACAACAAGAAGATATGTTAAAATGGTACTTCTTTGCAAGGAAATATTAATTTTGCAATTATGGAGCGGAGTCTCCTTGCAAGATCGATATTTGCTTATACAAATTTTCCATTTTAAACATGTTTTAAAGTTCATGTTGTGAAAAGAAGTCTACACATATTAAAACACAAAGGTAAAATCTAAGCCCGCCCACCCGCCCTGTCTCAATTGTGATGATTTGTTTTATTGGCTGTGAACCAAGAGGGCAGAGCTTAACTGCAAAATACTTACTGTTTGTGAGTATCGTGTTGTTAAAAAAATTCCATGTATATTAAGAAAAAAAGGCAAAATATATAGAATTGAGGACTGAGATCGGAGCGGTTATGGGTGGGAACACGATTTTCAAAAACATGTAATTTCTCGCAGAGAAATATGGATTTTGCAGTTAAGCTCCGCCTTCTTGGCTCATGACGAATAAAAAAATCATTACAATTGAGACAGGGCGGGTGGGTGGGGCTACATTTTGCCTCTTTTTTCTTAATATGTGTAGACTTAATTCGACCACAAGAAACTTAAAACATGTCTAGAATGTTAAATTTTTGTAGTAATCAACCTCCAACCCCTTAAGTACGGCAAAAGTTGAACATCAAAGTTACTATCAACGTCAACTGCAAGTTTATAAATTCCACTTAACGGAAAAGTGAAACGATTTTGTAAACAACGTTAACGATTATAGTTTCAAGGTAGCTAGAATGATGGTTACCTAGAATAAAACCAAATGAAAAAGATATTTTGTGAAAATTGTTCCCAATTAAACACACAGTACATAGTTAATTTTATTAAATCGGGCACGAATTTTCTAAATCTTTAGCAAAAAATGTATAAAAAACAGTCATTGTGCAAAAGAAAAAATAAATTTTGGAAGCTCCAGTTTCAAGATTATATTTGGATAATTATTTTCAAAGTGTTCATTCCAGTTACAAACAAGTGAGCACAACCATTATTATCTCTCTTTCTTATCGTGACAATGAATTATTTGTTCTCTTCCAAATAAAAAACGCCAGTCAGTGGTTAATTGCCTCAACATGAAGATGATTCGCAAATCATTATTTATTGTTTGTTTATTTTTAATTCTAGAATCGAACCAAATGACTAGATGTGCTGGAAGCAACACATTTTTGTGAGAACTGTGGGTGTGACCTGAAATAAAAATTTTTGCTTGTATTGTGTAGAGTGATAAAAGTCCTCAATAAAACCAACCTTAATCCCACTTAAACTTAATTGTACATTTTTCAAAACAAGGATTAGTCGAAATTTTGCATCCAAAAAACCACTAAGCCAACTGTTTGTTCTTTGCCTCAAAATGAAGTCATTTTTCATTCTGTGTTTATGATTAAATTTATTCTTGTTTTCATGAAAGAATGGTCGGAAAAGTTAAGCAAAATTTTACGGGAGAGCTATTTCTTCGTCCTCTAGGGGTCATGGAAGGTCGAGAAAACGTAAAAGTGGAGAGTCGGCCGACGGAATCGATTACAATACTTCCTTTGCTTACGCCCGCGAAGTAAAAATAAATGTAATGAAAAGCAAGAAGAACTTAAAAGAGTCGTCAATTTACCTAAATCATGATCTGACGAAAACGCAAAGAAAAATTCAAAACAAAATAAAAAGTAGGCAACAAAAGAGAGAAATAAAGGAAAAATGGTTAGAATGGGATATAAAAACTTAACTGTAAAGGAAGAAAACGAGGAAAAATGGAAGGAAACAAGGCAAAGGGAAAGAAATAAAGAATTCAGATAAGAAAATCGGAAAAAGGGAAACTGGTACAAAATTGGGAGAAAAAGGGGTGAACGTATTGTTCTGGAATGTCCAAGGGTTGCGAAAAAACGAAAATGAGTTTTGGGACTACGTGGGAAAATTTGATGTGGTGGGGCTAGTAGAAACATGGGTACAAAGAGAAAACTGGGAGAAATTTGAAGAAACACTACCACAAGAATATGTGTGGGAGTGTCAAAGAACGACAAAGGAAAAGAAAAAGGGGAGAGAAAGCAGGGGAATAGTAACGGGAATTTGAAAAGAAATGCAAGAATTGGAAAATAGAAGTAATAATAAAAACAGCCTAATGAAGAAAGTAATAGAGCTGGATAACAGTCGATGGGAAATAATAACCGTTTATTGCAAGAAAATGAAAAAAGCCAAGATAAATATAGAAAAGGAGATGAAAAAATACTTATAGGAGAAGATTTTAACGCAAGACTGGGCGATAAGGGGACAAGAGTAATAGAGAAAGAAAAGGGAGAGAAGGAAGAGATAATAGAAGAAATGGGATTGGAAATTTTGAATGGAAACAAAGAAGGAGATGAAGAAGGAGAATGGACTATGGGATTGTCAACGAAGAGGTGTGGGAAGAAATAGAGAGTTTCAAAGTGGAGGAAAGGGTAGAATCAGACCACATGCCACTAGAAGATTGAAAAATTAAAAATAAACAATTGAAAACTTGGAAAACGGTAAAACTGAAAAAATTGCAAAAGTGGAAAATTGAAAAATTGAGAAATCCAGAAGTCATAAATTGAAAAATCGGAAAATTAAATAATAATCTTTTAATAGAAAACTGAATAATTTAAAAATTTAAATGTGGAATAATTAAAAAATCGGAAAGGTTGAAATATAGAACACTTGAAAAATGGAAAAATTGCAATGGAAATTGTATTAAAAATTCGAAAAATTGCAAAGTTGCAACACCAACAAAAAAAAGTTAAAATTGTTATACTGAAAAATCGATAAAATTGAACATTCGAACATTTGAAGGAGCGAAAAACTGAACAACTGGGAAATTGAAAGAACAATCGAAAAAATGCAAAATTATAAACAGAAATTGAAAAACGGAAAATATCGCAAAATAAAAAACGGAAGTATTGCAAAATTTAGAAATTGGAAAAAAGAAAATTGACAAATCGATAAATCTAAAAATTCAAAAATCAAAAAATTGTAAAACAGAAACGAAAAAAATGGGGAAATTGAAAATTAGATAACAGAAAAAATGAAAACCTGAAAAAGCTAAAAACTACACAATTCTAAAATTGAAAAATCGGCAATCGCATAATCAAAAATTGAGTAATTAATAAATCCAGACATTGAAAAATTGAAAAAGTGCGAAACAAATACTAAAAAATTCGAATAATTGAAAAATCGAAAAATTCCACAATTGTAAAACCGAAAAATTGAAAATTGAGGAGAAATTAGAAATTAAAAAATCGACAAATCCAAAAATCAAAAATTAGAAAATCGAAAAAGTGGAAAATTGTAAAACAGAAACTAAAACAAATGAAAATTGGAAAAATCGAACAAGTTGAAAAATCGAATACCAAAGAATCGAAAAAATGCAAATTTGTTATAACAGAAACTGAAAATATCGCGAAAGTGAGAAAACTAAAAACAACTAAATTGTAAAGTTAAAAATCGAAAAAATCGAAAAATGAAAAATCTAAAAAGGCAAAAGCACAAAATTGAAAAATTAAAATCGGAACAATGTCAATAAATCTGAACATTGAAAAATTGAAAAATCGAAGAAGTGTAAAATAGAAATTAAAAAAAATCCAAAAATTCCCCCACTCCACAAATTTAGTAGAAGAAATTAGGAATTAAAAATTCGAAAATCAAAAATTTAAAAACAGAAAAAGTGCAGAATTGTAAAACAAACTGAAACAACTCAAAATTGAAAAATTGGATCATTGAAAAATTGAAACATCGAAAAATTAGAAAATCGTAAAGTTAAAAAAATATGGAAATCGAAAATTTTAAAAATCCCGAAATTTGAAAAATTGAAATATAGAAAAACCGAAACTCGAGAAATCAAAAGT